TGATGATGATGATGATTTATATTTTGCAATACCTTAGTTGAGCTGAAAAGGAGTGTCATTGTGTCCCATTTCCAACGTCGCATCGATGAGGCATCCGCATAGCCACCCCACAGATCGATCACCTTCTCATCGTTCAAATACACCGCAAAAGCGGCTCCTTCAGATTCCCAGCCCCGTTCGAAATTCTCCCTCAAAACAATTTCTATGGCTGTTGAGGTATTGGCTGATATCGTTTCTCTGGTAAAATTGATCTGTTGTTGATCATGCTAGAGTATTGAATCAGTGGAAAAGATGAACTTTTTATGGAGTTTTTGAAAATATATGATCTAGTTTTCAAGTGACTCATACGACAAGTTGATGAAACGTTCGAAAATTTTTTCAACGTCGTTTCTCGATTCAACCTTCAAAGTTGAAATTTATTCATTCGTTGATGATCTGAACTTTATAAATCCTTGAATACTCACACATCAAGTCGAATTATTTCAATTCAACAATTCGTTTCAATAGGTCACCCATTAAACTCATCAGTATGACATCAATATCACATCATTGTGACATCAATAATATTGCTCCATTACTAGCTTATTACGAACCAGTTTTGTACAAAACATTTAACGAAGTAAAAATCACACACAGTTGAGACTCATCACTTTCAATGAGTCATATTATTCATATGAAATCAAGTGGATCTTATGAGTCATTCAGTGGGATTAGTTAAGCAGCTGATAAAGACTTTAGCACCTTTGAAATGTGAATGTAATGAATTTCGCAATGAATAATCGTTGCTCTTCAAGAAAATGCAAGGGAAAACTCACCTGAACGCTTGTTTCACAGCATTGAAACGTGAATCACAATCGCCATCCACAAGCACTGGTAATCGAGGCATATTTTTCCTGTTGCGTTTTTATGCTTGAGTCACCTTGTCGACTTCAAGTAATAAACACCTGCTGTCTAAGAAATAAACCAAAAGTGATGTTTAACTCTACTGAATTGAAACAATGAATTAGCGAATGCTTGGAAAATATACACTTGACTGATTTTAACGATTATTTAGAGAAAATATAACAATATTGTCATCGATGATGAGTCGTCTTAATGATGAATAGCAAATGAGCATTATGATATAGATTGTGACTGGTTGACATGCGAACAACCAGCTGGTTTAGTTCTTTAGTTAACTTACATAATTGATTTTGCTCATAACTCATATGAAAATATTCTTCAAATGTGCTTTTTGGTGACTAAACATTCCAGATGAGAATTCATGACTCACTGAAGTTTTCTAAGGCTAGCAATTAGGGTTGAGAAAGAGACTGTTTTTTGGAGTCAATATGAGGGACTCTTGGAGTTTATCTCGGCTGAATTTTTCACGGATTAAGAATGGATTTAAAGGGTTGAAAACCTCACAGGATTAAAATGTCAGCATTATGTGTACAAATGTGATCGTAAGAAAGCATTCCTAAGAGAATATGCTTAAGTAATCTCATTCATGCTTTTTTGGTTGTTTTTTCCGCCGCTGCTGAAGCAATAGAAACATTGTGATCACTGGAAACAAACAGAGCATTGTGATGATGTCACGTCAGTAAGTGGATATTGTTTCGGAGATGTAGACTGAGCAATTGCGCTCAAATTGAATAATCTCACAGAAGCGAGCGATATCTGAGGAGTTTTTTGAGTGCGGCGAATTATGTTCAAAATATTCTTCTACTCAACACATGTAATGGATGGTGTGAATATCTCATATTAGATGCATGAATGTTCACACAAAAGTTTACTTAATGAATTTTTTTTTCTGGACATAATCGATTCGGTTGAAGCTGACTGAAAGGAATATATTTTTTCTAATACTTAGAAGGAAATTTGCTCGGTGAAATGAAAAAAAAA